AGATACTCATGCATGATAATCATTTTTGCCAAATCTTTGTAGCTTCTCTCCTAAAAGAATTTATAAACAACAACATGGTGTAGAGCGAGAAAATTGCAATGTTTGCTATAACTAAGTGTTAATATGTTTATTGTATTTTGTGTTTTTTAAATAATGAATCAAGTTGCTAGTTCCTGTTTTACCACCATCATATTTAAAGGAAGTTTTACAATATGCGCATCTAACACAATTCTCTAGTAATTTAACTTAGTTAAAAAAAAAAAAATCTAAAATTTGCATTTTACTTTGTTTGTCATCCTTTATAAAATGATTTTTTTAAAAACCCATGATGGAGGTTTACTACCTTTATGTTTATTGGTATTAGAGCTTATTTCAGTAGAGGTTACTTCAACTTTGGTAAAGGTTGCTTTAGTTATTTCTAGAATTTCATCTTCGCTACTAATTAAATTCATATTTGCTTTGTCATTATACTTTATACTTGTATCTTCGATTAAATCTATTTTTTTTTTTATTGTAACACTGGATAATTCTGTGTAGCTTATTTAAAAAAAAAGAAAAAAAGACTTATTAAAAACTAGTAGCCTTTTTATATGAATTTTGATATATAATAATATTTCACATGTTTCTTTTATAATTAAGATAAAAAATCAAATCATGAATATTATCAACTCAAGAAGCAGAAACAAAGAATTTATACTACAAAGTCAAGAAGATGTTTTTAGGCATGTATATACATATGCATATGCAAGAAAGAATTGTTTTATTGAAGGTAAAAATTCTAGATAATCATCAGGAAATTTTTAAATAAGATGCATATCGATTACTAGCTGCAGGGTTAATTGGCATTGATTTATATTGATTATAATCGATTGCAATCACTTAAATTTAAATGATTACAATCGATTGTAATCGATATAAATCAATTGCAATCATTTAAATTTAAAAGATTATAAGCGATTATAATCAATATAAATCGATGCCAATTAACCCTGCAGCTATTAATCGATATGTATCTTATTTAAAAATTTCCTGATGATTAATAAGCAGGTATGTACAGACATACAAGAAAAATTATATGCCCATAGGTGTTATTTTGAGATGAAGAAAGTTTCTTCTTTATGCCTATTATACGTATTAATTGCTTGTTAGAACCCTAATATAAGGTGCATATTATTTTGGAGAAAATCTAGACAATTGATAAACACGTATAGCACATGTAAGAAAGAAAATTCAGATAATTGATGAGTATACGTATTACCATATTGTTGCAAAATAATATTTATTTGTATATTATTTAGACCTGTAGACATTATTTTGAAATGAAAATAAAATTTCACCTAACATGCCTATTATATCTAATTACTTGTTGGAATCTTAATATATGCCATGTTTAGAAGACACAATTTTCTAAACTATTACCAGACAATTGATTGGCACTTCAGTATATACAAGAAAAAACTATCATTGAAGATAAATATATACATACTATATTGTTGTAAAATAATACCCAACTATGCATTATTTTAAATATATATTTATTATTTAGAGTATACCGGAGTGTTATTATATTTTGTAAAGCTTCACTGTTATATCTAATTACTTGTTAGAACTAGGGATTGGACCCATCTAACAAAATCTAACTCGGGTTACCTGTCAGTTAATTGTTAACCTACCCAGATAAATACCTAGATAAATATAATTTACAAATAATACAATTTGATTGGTTGAGGTGTTATCACATGAACAAGCACATAATAAATAGTGCCTGTCTGGACAAAATATAAAAAATATTTTTATTTGATTGGTTACCTTTTTTTACCCAGGTAGCAAAATCTTTACCTGGTTACACAACTTGCTCACAGGTAACCCAGATACAGGTCCAATCCTTAGTTAGAATCCTAATATAGAGTGCATGCTATTTTTGAACACATGGACTATTTTAAAAGCATATATGCCATTTAAGAGTTACAATTTTCTAAATAATATTCAATTTTATAGCAATGTATATGCAAGAAAATTATTTTTTTGAAGGTGGAAAAATCTAGACAATTTATAAGCACGTATAGCATATACAAAAAAGAGCTATGTTATTGAAGGTGAGAAAATCCAGGTGATTTATAATTGCTGCTTTTGATTCTGCATATTACTATTGTCTTCACAATAGTAATCTGCGAAATTTATAAGATTTTGCAAACTTTAATTGTCACACTAATTTGATAATTAAAAAATTTACATCTTTTTCCATGTAGTATGTAAGTTAAATATCAGATTTACCTCTCTTGGAAATGATGTACAATTAGCATGAATTTTTCAAAAATTGGATAGATCGAGTAAATCGGTTGAATCAAAGCAAAAGGTAAAATAGCAGAGAAAATATAAATAGAATCGATTAGCTAAATTTTATAAATTTATTTTATATATATTAAAAAGTATATAAGTAGCTTGAAATAACCATCAATAAAATTTAATTCAGTTGAGTTCCAAAACTCAGAAGTATCCAAGTAGATATAATATTTGTTGTTTGTATTCTATCATTAACCTTGTCCTGTAATTTTTCACTAAAATTTCCCTGCTTGATTTTTAAAGAGAAAAAGTAAAAGAGTTAGTAATCATTGTAAAATCCATATTTATATAAAATATATAAATTGATTAAAGCTATGATCATAGTATCTTGAATCGAAATTTATGATTGGTATAGTAAATTCCAACCCATCATGCCAAAAAAATAAAACAGTACTATTAGTAACTATCTAAAAGAGAAATAAAAAATGTGGGTAGAGTTATAAAAAAGACTTATCTAAAATCTCAACTACATACCTGTGATTTCCGCAGTACTGAGAAAGTCCCAAAACTTAACCAAATTATTTCATGCCTCTTTCTAGCCTACAATTTTTATCATAAAGCTGAAAAACACAATTTAGGCTACTAAATAGCGATATTAAATAAGTATTTAAATTTAATTTAATATTATTAAAGTACTTTAAATTTATATTTATAATATATTTAATTTTTAAATGTTTTTTAAGTACTTTAAATAAGTATTTATATCAGCAAATTTATAAGGGTATAATATTTCATAATATTTATGAAATATAAAAAACTATAATATTTCAAAATAAATTTTAAAAAATTGTGAAATATAATAATTTCAAAATATTATGTAACTAATTTCGAAATCTTTCAAAAAATATTGCGAAATAATTCGAAAGATTTTATTTCAAAATATTTTGAAGATTATTTGAAAATACTTAATTGTTTATAGCTAGCATTAGTAATTTTAAATATAGTATTACAAAAATCTTTGTATGTATGTACATATATTTTATGCTTTGTATTGTACGATCTGCAGAATCTTTATTAGATTAGATTTTTGTTTAGATCTTTTCGTATTTTAATTTTTTTTCATTTAACTTTTTTTATCTTTTGATTTTTGATTTTTTATTTTTTATTGACAATTATGCCACATGCCCTGCTTTTATTAATCATATACAACAATCCAAAAGATTTTTATATTACATCTTATTACCAGAATGTAACTCACCTAATTATCTATATAAAGTATCTAAGTACTCATGCACCTGTGTACAACCTGCCAAAGATAATTTTAATCTTCTCGGTTTGGTTTAACCTACATCAAGCTGACCCATCCCAGTTCACCGACCTGGTTCACCAGCCCATCATAATCATCTTCTTTCCCAACCTTCTTCTTCTAGCCTCCTAGATAGAAGAATTCTACTACAAGAACAATAGGGAATTTAAGAAAATAAAAGAAAATACAAAAAAGAGGGAAAATTTAAACTAAACAAACCAAAAAACATACACAAAAGAAAAAATAGAGAAAAGGAGAAAAAGGCTACAAAGAAGACGACCATGATGACACTATTTTTGCCTGTGCCAGGCTACAAAAATTATATAATGTTGTATAGAAAAAAAATCTAATCTAACACTATATGTATTAAAAGAAGTGGAAAAGAAAAGAAAAAATGTCTAACTATAAGAAATTTCTACACATGATCCCTCTGATCCCCTATACTGTAAACAGTACTACCATCATTGTTTATTTGAGAAAGCAAAATTCAAATAAGCTCGTGAAAGGTTCCATTTTGGTAGACGCATCCTAATTTGGAAGGAGTAAACACTGCCGATCTTTTGAAGGGGGTACACCGGTTTTCTCACTTTTTAGCCGAAATTCCTAAAAAAATTCAAAACTGCAGAAATATGGTAGAAGATAGTGGTAATAAGTACTTTCAAAATTTCTAAAGAGAGTATTGGAAGTTCAGAACTTTTGTTTTTTTCCTGTGTTTTTCTTTGAAGTAACAGCCCTAGTGCTTCGTCGATGAAGTAAAAGCCTACTTTGTGACTTTCTCCCTTTACCAAGATTTTTTATACAAGAGTACCGCCTGCCAGTTATCTTGTATAATAACGCTCTTGGCTTGCATGCCAAACATCTTTTTAGAGGAGTTCCCCACAGATATTAACCTCTAAACAAACTGCAGTATAAGGCCATGTCTCTCCAACAAAGGTTGTGTTTTTCTATTAGCTGAAATTTTGATACAAGTGATTGTTAGAAAGAGTTGTATTTTTGAATTTTTTGTTTTAATTTTTCATTTTAATTTTATTTATTTTATTTATTTATTTGTTAATACATATATTTATTTTTTTGTTTCCTTTCAGAATTATAGTTAAGATTGGTAGTCGCTTTTACGAATTAGAGTTTCTTTCTTTCGGTCCTTAGTAAGTATTATTTATTACTTTTGTTCTTACTTCTCAATTTGTAAATGCGTTTAACTGTTATTTTGTTCTAGATTATACTTCAGACAATGATTCGGGCATACTTTCTGCTTTTTTTTCTTCCAGATAATGCTTTAGACAATGAACAGTTTGGGCTTGGTAATTATTGCTTGCCTTTTGAATCATTGCTTTTTTTCCTTCTGGCTTGTGGTAGTCTTATTTCTCTATTTGTGAACACGTTTGACTACTACAACTCTTCTTTATTCTTTTTAGTTAATAGCTGGCTCTATTAAGATTAGTGGTAATTGTTTGACTTTTTTTTTATTCTGAATTATGGGGTTTCTTTTTTTCTGATCTTGCAGTGGTTCTTGTTTCTCTATTTGTGAATGTGTTTGACTACCACTATTCTTTTTTCTTTCAGGTAATGCTTCAGGCAATAAACAGTTTGCTTTCTTTCCTTCTAGTATTGTGGTAGTAGCCTTATTTCTCTATTTGTAAACATGTTTGACTACCACAACTCTTCTTTCTTCTTTTCTGTTAATGACTAGCTTTACTAAGGTTGGTAGTAATTTGTTTGGCTTTTTTTTTTTCTTCTAAATTATAGAGTTTCTTTCTTTCAATTTCATAGTGGTTTTTGTTTCTCCATTTGTGAATGTGTTTGACTGCTACTATTCTTTTTCTTTCTAGGTAACACTTCGGGCAACAAATAGTTTACTTTCTTTCTTTTTAGTTATGTGGTAGTCTTATTTCTTCATGGTGAACATATTTGACTACCACAACTCTTCTTCCTTCTTTTTATTTAATAGTTGGCTTTACTAAGGTTGGTAGTAATTGTTTGGCTTTTTGTTTTTTTCTAAATTATAGATTTTTTTTTTTACAATTTTGTGGTAGTTCTTGTTTTTCTATTTGTGAATGTGTTTGACTGCCACCATTCTTCTTCCTTCCAGGTAACGCTTCAGGCAATGAATAGTTTGTTTTTTTGCTTCTAGTCTTGTAGTAGTGGTCTTATTTCTCCATTTGTGAACATATTTAACTACCACAACTCTTCTTCCTTCTTTTCTGTCTCTACTAAGGTTGATGGTAATTGTTTGGTTTTTTTTTTTCTTATAAATTATAGGTTTTTTTCTTCCGATTTTATGGTGGTTCTTGTTTCTCTATTTATAAACATGTTTGACTGCCACTATTTTTTTTCCTTCTAGTTAATGCTTTGGGCAACAAACAGTTTGCTTTTTTTCCTTCTAGTCTTGTAGTAGTAGTCTTATTTCTCCATTTGTAAACACATTTGACTACCATAACTCTTCTTCTTTCTTTTCTGCTTCTACTAAGGTTGGTGGTAATTGTTTGGCTTTTTTTTTCTTCTGAATTATAGTTTTCTTTCTTCTTATTTCATGGTAGTTCTTGTTTCTCCATTTGTGAACATGTTTGACTGCCACCATTCTTCTTCCTTCCAGGTAATGCTTTGGGCAACAAACGGTTTGCTTTTTTTTCTTTTAGTCTCGTAGTAGTAGTCTTATTTCTCCATTTGTGAACACATTTAACTACCACAACTCTTCTTTTTTTTTTTCCATCTCTACTAAGGTTTGGTGGTAATTGTTTGGCTTTTTTTTTTCTGAATTATGGGTTTTCTTTTTTTCGATTTCATGGTGGTTCTTGTTTTTCTATTTGTGAATATGTTTAACTATCATTATTCTTCTTTCTTCCAGATAACACTTTAGGCAACAAAAGGTTTGCTTTTTTTTCTTCTAGTCTTGTGGTAGTGATCTTATTTATCCATTTATAAACATGTTTGATTACAACAACATAATTGGTCTTAAAAATAAGTAGTGGCAAAACTAAAACCAGTCTTAGAAATATGTACTAGTTTCTTTTTACTATTTTGTTTTTATTGTTTCAGTTTTTCTTCTTAGTGTAACAATTCTTTCTTCTTTTCTATAGGTTTTAGCTTCATCAAAATGAGAAAGTTTTATCGAAATGCAATTACTATAATACTAATTTAAATAAAGTATGACTTGGGAAGTATAAATTAATAAATAGTAATGAAAATTAGACGCAATGATCTTGGAAATGATTTTAGGCATTTGTAGATATTAATTTATAATAAATAGTATAATATATTAAATATAATATAATAAATATGTATTATTGATATATTTAAATATTCAATATATTATACATAATAAATAAAATTTTGTATGCATTATTTAATGAATAAATATAATTTTAGTTATTTTGAAATATTGCACAATCTTATGTAATTTTTAGAAATGCTTCGAAACCTTTCGAATTCATTAATATAAATAAACTATTAATTTATTTTTTTTTATTTTTTTTTTTTAAACAGTCATGTCTTTATTTATTTGAACTACTATTTGACTATTATACATGTATATATTGCCTTTATAGTGTATTGCTCTAATCTAAAAAAGACTCACCAAGTATTTATCTAGTGCAACCCACCAAAACAATGATTTATTTCCCTCAGGATTCTTAACTTTCTAAAAATTTTGTACCAATTAAGGTACTCCTCTTGGTCATTAATTGGCCATTGTCTGCTATATCAATCATGCTTAAAAAACTTCTTTTGGTTTAACTAGTGAGGACCATGCTGGTTTGGTTTTCCACGAGACCTATTCTCTAATTAGACTTTCTTTTTCTTTGGCTGTATCAAGTTTTCCTTCTCTGCAGCTAACCTTGGTTCTTTTAGCATCTTTTCTCCTTGTACTACTTGAAGGGTCTTTATTTTCTTTGTCTTGTTCCTTTGCCTCTTTACTTTTCTTTTTTTTTGTATTTTCTGTTTTCTTCTTCTTAATTATACCTTCTTTCCTTTCCCATTCTATGACCTTTTCATACTGAGAATTCCAAATGAGCTTGTGAAAGTGGTTTGAAAAGCTGTCGATAAAGGCTTGTAGAATTTTGGAGGCTTTTTCTACTTCTTCTTCTATTAGCAAGCAAATTCTTTAAACTCTTTTCTTTGTTACCAGGCCTCTTATTAGTTCCTTTCTAGCTATGATTTTTTCATCAAGGCTTTTGCCAAAAACTAATTCTGCTATTTTCTGCTTATCATATATCTTCAAATTTGCTTTTTCTTTCTCTGCCTTGTTAATAATAGCTAAGCAACCTTCTTCTTCAAGCTTGTTTCAAGTTGATTGCAACTCAGTATATTCGGCTAAGTGGTCTTGAGTCTCATATTCTCAGAAGCATATCTTGCAAGTGTCATCCGTATACAACTCTCTTTTTCTCTGTTTCAGAATTTGTATTGTTGGAAGTAAACTATTAAGACACTTGATTTTGAAAATCCAATCTTTGTAAGCCTGCAAGTATTTTTTCAAACCTCTCTCCAGTCTACTTCATTTTCTTTGTAGATTGTCTTAGACCATTTGTTTATACTTTTTAGGTTTTTTTATTCAGTATTAATACTTAGATTGGTAAGCTGTGTTGCAAAACTTCTTGTTGCATCATCTATCTGTATCTCTTTTCATCTTAGCTCAGCGATCAATTTCTTGTTCCAGGGCCATCTTAGGTTTAAAAACAAAGAACTGTTTACTCCTTCCTTTGCTAGTTTGTTAGTCTTTTTGTTATCTTGCACCCCACTATGTGCTTTGATTTTATTAAATCATACTCTTAGTTCTTTAAGCTCAATTGTTCTCGATATTTGTTCGAAGAGACTGAGATTTTTCTTTTTACTATATTGCTTGGCTTGGTTTTGTTTTGGCTTGCTTGTACTGCCTAGATCAATGCTGTACTGTTTGTATAAATATTTACTATAGCCTTGTTTAACACAGTTAATAAGGCTAACCATATTGCACCCAGTTTAGCTCTAGTTGATGATGGCCAATATTTTATAGCTTCTTTAAATTCTGCTATATAGTCTTCACTCTTCTTGGCTCTATTTACTGTGATAGCTACCTATCTTATTCCCATTATCTTTCTTTCTGGGTTCTTTGTTGGGTTCGATAAAAACCCATCAGTGTGGAAGAATATTTTTTGTATAGCTTTAGTTGTGTTGCTAGTTGTTTTAGCTCCTCTTTTATTTGTTGTCCTTTGAGCGCTTGATCAATTATTTTTTCTTATATTGGGTAGATGAGAATTTCTTTTACCAAAAGCTCATATCTCTTACTATTGCAGTTTTTGAGCACTTCTAGTCTGAAGTGTGTATCTACAAAACAGCTTACCAGGACTGCTAACTCCTGCATATATACTTGGGAGTCTACTTTTTGTACAAAGTTTGGGTTTATAACAACTGTTTGCTTCTTAGCTTTTTCTTTTTAAGGCATGTTTCTGGTATCATGTTTTTATTCATATTTTGTTCACAACCTAAGCACTTCTCAAGTCTAACCATACTGTTATCTGGATTCAGAATCATCTTCCAATGCTCTATTACAACAGTTTTGTGCCTCTTCTTTTCGCTTACTTTCCCGATTTTCATCTTGTTCTTTCGGTTCTTTAACAAAATCTACTCCTTTTTTCTTTTGTTATTATCTATCATAGAGCATATAACTTTTGGGCTTAAAGTGTTTATCGTTTTGGTTCTGAAGTTAGGCTTGATTGTACGATTCTCTTCATTTTCAAAAACCTTTTTCTTGATGTTTCTAAACCATCTGGGCACTTTGCTAGCAGCTTTATATTGTATATATTGCTTGATCTATTTCTATATAAATAATTTGCTGCCTGTTTCATCACATAGTTGTTCTAATACAAAGATTCCTGCCTTTTTTCCTTGTACAAAACTCTTGATCTGTTTTGGTTCTAGCAAGTTTACTATTTCAGTGCCTTTTTCTATAAGTTTGAGATTTTTTTCTATCTTTTCTGATCTAAAACTTAGGTTCATTTGTTTTGCCTCAGTTATGATTTTGTAAATTAAATTCTGCTTGAGATATATTTTTCTCAATCTTGCTAGTTCTAGGCCTAAAATATATCTAGGGCTTTTGCAATCTATTTGCACTTGCTGAATTCTAATCCATATCCCTTAAATTGTAACACAGGCAAATTTGCCTGTGTTTTTATTAAAAAGTTTAATTTTTTTAATAAAAACTTA